AGCAAGATATGAGGGTTCCAATTGTTCCACATGCTCACCAGTACGTGTGGTTTCCCTTTTTCTTTTTTTAACTCCTAGCCACCTTAGTGAGTGTGAAGTGATGCACCTTTGTGGTTTGGATGTGCATTTCCCTCATGACTAGTGATGCTTGTTGGCCGCCTGTACATCTTCTTTGGAGAAATGTCTATTCAGAGTACTTTGGCCATATTCTAATTGGGTTGTCGTCTTCTCATTGTTGAGTTTAAGAGTTCTTTACAAACTCTTATCAGATATTTGATTTGAAGATACTTTCTCCCAATTTTATAGGTTCTCTTTTCACTTTCTTGCTAATATCCTTTGAAACAAAAATGTTTGTAATTTTGATGAAGTCTGATTTATCTATTTTTTCTTTTGTTGCTTGTTCTTTGGGTGTCATATATCTAAGACTCCGTTGACAAATTCAAGGCTATGAAGATTTACACCTGTGTTTTCTTCTAGGAGTTTCATAGTTTTAGCTCTTATATTTAAGGTCTTTGGTTCACTGAGTTAGTTTGTATACATGGTGTGAGGTAGGAGTCCAACCTCATTCTTTTGCAAGTGGAAATCCAGTTGTCCCAATAGTATTTGTTGAGAAAATTATTCTTAACTGATTGAATGGCCTTGGCATCCTGTTGAAAATCAATTGACTAGAGATGTATGTGTTTATTTCTGGACTCTTGATGCCATTGACTTATACCCATCCTTATGCCAGTATCACACAATCTTGATCACTGTAACGTGGTAGTTAGTTTTGAAATTGGAAAGTGCGAGTCCTCCAAATTTCTTCTTCTTTTCCAATGTTGTTTTGGTTATCGTAAGTCCCTCAAATTTCCATATGTATTTTAGGATCAGCTTGCCAATTTCCACAAAAAAAGACAACTGGAACTTCGATAGAACTGCATTGAATCTGTAGAAAATTTGGAAACCATTGCCATTTTAACACCATTAGTTCTTCCAATCCATGAATACTGGTGTCCTTTCATTTATTTAGGTCTTCAATTTCTCTTGTTACTATTTTGTACTTTTCAGTGTAGAAGTTTTGCATTTCTTTGGTGAAATTTATTCTTAAAATATTTTATGCTTTTTTTATACTATAAAAATACAATTGTTTTCTTAATTTCCTTTTCAGATTGTTCATTGCTAGTGTATAGAAATACAACTGATTTTTGTATATTCATCTTTTATCCTGTAAACTTGCTGAACTTAATTTTAGCTTTACCAGTAATTTTTGTAGATTCTTTGGGATTTTCTATATATAAGACCACATCACCTGCAAATGTGGTTTTACTTCTTCCTTTCCAACTTTTACTTGATTTTCTTATTTAACTGCCCCAGGTGGATTCTCTAGTACAGCGTTGAATGGAGGTGATGAGAAAGCATCCTGGTCTTGTTCCTGATCTGGGGGACGCGTTCAGTCTTTCACATTAAGTGTGATGTTCGCTGTGGGTATTCATAGATGCCCTCTGCCAGGCTAAGGATGTTTCCTTCTGTCCCTGGTTTGCTGATTGTTCTTTTTTTTTAGAATTTACAAATGATTTTCTTGGCAAATTCAGAGTGAATGGTGAAGGAATGGAATGTGATTGGCCCAGCTTTGTCTTATCAAAAAGATACCACCACAAACGATGTACATGCCTCCTTCCCTAAGTTGACATGTTTCTTTTCTCTCCATCTTTCCTTCTCTACCACTTTACATCGGCATTGGCCGCACACTCATCCAGAACTTAAACAACACCGGCTCAGAAATACTTTCTCATGGCTAATTGTCTTTTCATTGTTTGAGGCAATAACAACAGCAGCAACGATAGTAACCAAATAATAACTGTCATTTGCTGAATGCTTCCCAGGCAGCAGGCAGTGTTCCTAAGCACTTTCTATGACAAACTCATTTAATCGTGTGACGTTTAATCTGCATGACAATCTTACAGGGACGGTACTGATCCTCTCCTCATAGGGATGTACACTGAGGCTGGTGCCAATCTTCAACTTGTCTAAGAAGGTGTCAGAGGATGTGCTGTGCCTTTGGCTTGGTCCAGGAACAGTTCCCCGGCTTTGCTGATTGTTCTTATCATGAAAGGATGTTCATTGTCAAATGCCTTTTCTGTGTCTATTAAGATATAATGTGGTTATTTTCCCCTTTAGTCTATTAATGCGGTCTATTGATTGATTTTCATATGTTAAACAAACCTTGTACTCCTGGGATAAACTCCACGAGGTCTTGATGTATAAATATTTTTTTAAACTGCCAGATTCAACTTGCTAGTGTTTTGTTGAAGATTTTACATCTATATTCATAAGAGATGTTGGCCTGTAGTTTTCTTGTGAAGTCTTTGGTTATGGTATCAGGGTAATACTGGTCTCATTGAATGAGTTGGGAAGTGTTCCTTCCTCTTCTACATTTTAGAAGAAAATGTAAAGAACTAGTGTTAATTCTTTAGTTAGTAGAATTCACCAGTAATGTCATCTTCCGGCAACTCACTCTTCAAGCAGCTTCTCTTCTGAACTCAGCCCTCACTCTGTTACCTCTGTCTGGCTCTCAGCGGCCCCACCACTCACAGCGGTGCGGCCTGAGCAAGTCACCCATCTTCCCTGAGACTTGCTTTCCCCCTTTAGCAGATGTGGAGAGTGACCCAAGGTCCATGGGAGGATTAGATGAGGGGTGTCTGGATGGCATACTGTGGGTTGTTAGATTCAACCCACAGGGAATCTAAGAGGCAGTGTGTTCGGTAGCCCTGGGCCTGGCACACGGGATGACATCAGGGAGACCTCAGGCCAGTGCAGTGGGGGAACCCAGCCCACCCACAGCTGGACCCAGAGATCCAACAGCCAGGGCAAGACAGCTGCCTATGTCCCAACCTTAGGCCCAAAAGAAAACAACCCAAACCCACAAAAACCACGGCTGGAGTTCTCAATGCTCTCACACAGCAAAGCTCATCAGCCTCTGCTTAACGGAGGAGAAGGGAGAGCAATCGTCAGAATCGGTCCCCGCCAAACTCAGTGATGCTTTTTATAGGCCCTGGTATGCTCTGCTTCGCACAGCAGCTTCCCAAATGCCACTGCTTTGGGCAAAGAGGGTTTGGAGAGGTGGCAAGGGCTGGGGCTGGCACACATGGGAGCCTGGGGACTCGAAGCAGCAAGCAGAGCAGGGCGTGCGAGGCCAGGGCACCCACGTGGCTGTGACCGAGGGGGCCTGCTTCTTTCGAGGTTCACGGTCACAGAGCTGCTGCTCTCCAGGAGGGCGCAGACACCACGGTCCCACCTGTGGAGGTTGGGGCCTCTCGGCCCTCCAGCATCTGTCCTGCCTTTCTTTCAGTAACAACCCTGAGCTTCTTCAGGGAGGGTTCCTCCTCCCCTGGGGCATCTTGGTTGCATTGGCATCAAGGTGGCCGGCCTCCTAGCCAAGTTGGTCCACCAGCCTTCCTCTCCTGGACTGGACTCCTCAGGCAGAGTGATGACAAACCAACTGTCCAATTAACCAACCAACAAAACACTGCCCATCTCCCCCCCAAAGACGACCAAACAAACCCTCGGTGCACATGCATCCAGAACGCTGCCTGGAGCCGCCATGACCATGGCCTGTCCTCTCCTGGCCTGGGGGCAGTGAGCATACCAGCTACTCACAATTCAGACAATAAACTGTTCTTTCAAGAATTTGCTAAAATGAGCCAGACTCAGTTTCTGTTACTAGAAATCAGGAATCAAAATTAGGAATCCATCTACGCCCCTCCCTCTCATTTTACAGGGGCAGAGAAACAGACTTGGAGAAGGTGCCAAGGCCACACCCGGAACTCCAGAATTGGGGGTTTCAAAGCCTCCTTCTTGTTTCCTTTAAAATGGGAATAGTCATACCCACTTCTTAGTGGTATTCATACTGTTAATAATAAAACAGTGCAAACACTGACAGCTGATTTTTGGAGTCTTAGGAAGATCCAGACATGGTACTAAGCTCCGAATATTCACATTTGATCCTTACAACATTGTGTCAAGGTAGGTATTCTTATCATCCCCATTTTACAGATGAGGACACTGAAGTAGAGGTGAGGTGAGCTGCCTGGGGTCACGAAGCTGAAGTGGTGAGCTGGGAAGCCCGGCCTCTCCGCTCCCCGAGCCCGTGCACTCTTAGGTCTAAATCAGGTCGCAGGGCCATGCCTGGCTCAGCAAGCACTGAGCACGTGGTGGCTGCTCTCAGTTTCCACACTTTCTTACATGTACGTGGGAGGACATTTAAAAGGTGCAAAAGAGCACCCAAGGGGAAGTCTTCCCGTGGCCCCTGTCCCTTGCTCACCCGGTTTGTGGCCCAGAGGCACCCCTGTTCCCAATCTCCAGCCCCTCCCAGAGATGGACGGGAGGCAGAGCATGGCCAAGACGGCGCTGCCGGGCATCCTGTCCCAGGTTAGCTCACAGCCTCGTGCCCACTTGCAGGGCAGGAGGAGAAAATGCCAGTGATGTTTTTTTAAACCTGTTAGATATTTAAAGACAAGGAACGTTCCTGTTTGTTGGGTGCATGAACTCCACGCTCTAGGGAAGCAGGACGGTGAGGGGGTGGGCCTGGGCCCTGCTCCAGGCTGGCTGCAGGATGTGCACTCGGCCCCACCACCTTCCAGCTGTGTGACCTCGGCAAAGTCAAAGCCCGCTCAAAGCCTTAGTTTATTTACCCACAAAACAGCCCCGTTGACCTCAATAACCTCCGAGGTCCCATGTTTGGTGGTGACTGCCATAAACTGCAAGATGGAGAAAAGGGCTGAACTGGCTCCCCGTCCCCTCTCCCAAGAAAACCCCGCAGAGCAGAGATCTGGGAAGAGTTTGGGGGACAGTATGGAGCCCCCCACCTTTGCCACAGCTCCTTCCCACGTGGCCCAAATGAGCAACAGGGGAGACTGCATTGTCCCCTGCTCACACCCCACCTTTAGCGAGGACACGTCATGGGCAGAGAAGATGCATCCCAATGCAAGGCCAAGCCTCGCTGCAGTGCCGCTTCCACTTACAGCCAAGTTCCTGTTGACCAGCTGGCCCAGGTCCCCCGGCGTGTCCGCGTTACGGATATCCACGTCATGAGGTGACACGTACAGCTTTGTGTTGTCCAGGTCAAAGAACTCGACTTCGGTGAGGCCCACCCACGACAGGTTGCCCCAGTTGGACAGGATTTCCATCGTCACGTAGATGGCATCTTTCATCTCTTCTTTCACCCCCAGCTTGTCCTTAAAGGAGAGAAACATGGTGCCAGAGATGAAGCATGGCAGGCCGACTCCAGCCCCACCACCGGGCCACAGGCCATCCACCCTCCGTGCCTGAGGGTAAGAGCAGCACCCTATGCCTACAGTTACTATGCACCTATGTCACCGTGAAGATTAAACAAGCACAGCTACTGTGTACGTGGGCACCCAGTGTTTCCTGCTTAAAAGGCAGCATATTTGGGGGGGGGGACGACTTACAATTAATTTTTTATTTCTATTAATTTTATCCTATTCTGGTTTGTAAAGAAAACTTTTGGATTTATGTTAATCTAAGAATATGATTCCTTGTAACATAAAAAAAAAGGCAGCATATTCTGTCTGAACATCACGCCTGCCTCTTCCCCGCGACATAGGCATGTCACAACTTCTGCTGAATTGGGCAGGTCCCCCCACATTCATGCTGAAGCTCTAACCCCAGCAGCTCAAAGTATAACTGTATTTGAAGATAGGGTCTTTAAAAAGTAATTAAGTTAAAATGAGGCCATTAGAGTGGGAATGCATTCTGACCAATGTCCTCATCAGAGGAAATTTGGACACATGGGAAGACACCAGGGATGCTCGTGCACAGAGAAACGGCCATGGGACACGGGGGGAAAGGTGGCCATCTGCAAGCCGAGGAGAGAGGCCTCAGGGGAAACCACACCTGCCAACATCTCGCTCGTGGCCTTCCAGCCTCCAGAAGTATGAGAAAATGAATCTTATTTAAGCCACCAGAGTGTGGGATTTGTTAGGGCCGGCCCAGCAGAATAACGCAGTAGGTAACACAGACCTGGACAAGCCACTTGACTCCATCCACCTGCCACCAAGACTAAGTGAGATACGAGCCCCAGAGCGGACCTGTCCCAAGTCCTGGCCCTGTGTGTCCATCTCCCCATTCTCTCCTTCACTGTTTGTTTTTTTCAAGTAGGCAAAGTTCATCTTTATTTACTGATAATCCTCACCTGAGGATATGTTTATTGATTTTTAGAGAGAGAAACATCAATGTGAGAGACACTGATCGGTTGCCTCCTATACACACCCCGATCATTGAGCCCCAACCTAGGTATGTGCCCTGACAGGAAAATGAACCCACAACCTTTTGGTGTGTGGGGTGATGCCCCAACCAACTGACCCACTGGCCAGGGCTCTCCTTCATTGGTTTTGCTGCCTGCCTCCCTCGTGGGCAGGCTATTCGGTCTGAGAGGCTGCGTGGATGCCCCCAGTAAATGGCTACACTGTGGAATGGCCTCCTGAGGCACCTTGGGTGCCCAGAGCGCCGAGTGCAGTGCTGGTGGCCACGGATCAGTCACTCGTAAAGTGATGCATCCCCGTGTGCACATGCCCCCTGGTAATTAGCGCTGGTAATCGGCACTGGTTCTGTGAGCAGGGAGCTGAGCAAATGAACAGCAAATGTTCCCTACTTATTTTTTTAATTAATGGCCAGCGACATGTGCTCTGGCTCTCAGCATGTGTTTGGAGGAGCCCTGATTGCCTCTCGATAGGGACGAGGATGGGAGGGAGGGAGGTCGGCTCATGGCTCCCAGAAGGAACACGGGCGTTTTTATTAGCTTGGCCCACAGACCCCACAGCCTCCTCCTCCTGTGCCGGCTTTCTGCTCCTGTGCCGGCTTCCTGCTCCTGTGCCGGCTTCCTGCTCCTGTGCCAGCTTCCTGCTCCTGTGCCGTGCAGGGCCGGCTGAGCCCTCCGCTGCCCTGGGCCCGAGTCCAGGCTTGACGGATGGTGATACACCCAAGCTGGCCTGGCTGAAGTGGGGGCTGGGAGGTTAACAAGCTTGTGCTTGTGAGAGGCACTGCCAGGTGAGTGGTGTGGGAGGCGTGAAGGCATAGTACTGTGCACCCTGGCTGTTGGCTGCAGGGAAAAGGGCCAGATGGACTGCGAGCCGCCTCGCAGAGGGGCGGCTGGATCTCACACCCAGTGCAATCTCAGCGCAAGTTCCCGCAGGGAGTTTCCAAATGAAGGAGCTGAAGGGCCTATTAACTGAGGAAGTGTCACGACTTGTCAGTGCTGCAACTCCACGGCTACTCCTGCTCTGAATCTCGAGATTTAGGTCCCTCCAGAGCAGTGGTTCTCAACCTTCTGGCCCTTTAAATACAGTTCCTCATGTTGCGACCCAACCATAAAATTATTTTCGTTGCTACTTCATAACTATAATGTTGCTACTGTTATGAATCGTAATGTAAATATCTGATATGCAGGATGGTCTTAGGCGACCCCTGTGAAAGGGTCATTCGACTGCCAAAGGGGTCGCGACCCACAGGTTGAGAACTGCTGCTCCAGAGGGTCTGAGACCAACACTGGTCTCACATCCCTTACAAGGTGGTGCCAGACGCACAGCTGAGACTCGTCTGGGAGGGTGCAGGGCTTTCTGTGGTTGTGAGTCTTGCATGCGACTTTGGGAGACTCCGTGTTAAGTAAGACTGGTGACCACCAACCAGATAACAGGGGCTTGGGTACAGGGAGGGGTGAGGCAGATGAGCCAGGACACTCACCTACTGACACAAAGGAAAGAACTCCCATTACCCTGCCTCCCTGGGCCCCTCCTGAGCAGCGGATGTCCCGCTCCGTGTCTGTGCCGTCACATTGGACTGGACGAAGACTAATGTCACCTCTTGCAGTTACCTTGCAGCCTTAACATTTTCTCTCTGGGTAATCTCCATAATGATGATTTCCATCCCTTTATACTACTGCATTATGCCGATATATCACACTTTCCTGATTACCTCCATTATTAAGACACATTTATGTTATTTTTGGGTTTTTTCCTCATTTTTCTCTACTTCCAATAACTCAGCAGCAGACACATTTGTGCCTCTAGCTTTTTATTGCTGCTGAGTGACTTCCTGGGGTAAGGAAGGGGGATCACTGGGCTGGGAGACAAGCATTTCTAAGGCTCTTCCTAAGTCAAGCCCGTCTGCTTTCCCAGAGTGTCCCACTGTCTCCGCTGCTGCCAGCAGGGCAGGCCGACCGGCCTCTGTAACCTTGCCAGCACCAGAGGTTACCATCAAAGTCATTCACTCACTCGGATGTCCAATGGGACATGCAGGCTGCTCTGATTTGCATTTCTTGGTTACCAGCGATGCTGGACCTTTTCCTTGGGGCTCACGTGCTATTATATTTCCTCTGTGTGGAGAGGCTGCAAGGCCTTGCTCCGCACACCTTTGTCTGTGTGCCGGGGAGGAGGGGACATGCACGCGGCAGAAAGACGCCGAGGTGGTCGCCATCAGAACAATCCCACGGAACAGAAATGATCGCACACGGGCCCTGCCAGCCTCAGCTCCAGGAGAGGCAGTGAAGGCACTTACATCCCTGCAGGCCCGTTCTCACCTCTGGGGCCAGCACCTGCTCCTCAGCTGGTGAAGCCACCCGGCTGACATGGGCAGAGTCGCTTTCGATGGCCCGGAGGACTTCCAGAAGCTTCTGCTGCTGCCTGAAATGGGACTTGTTTTAGCAATCAGGTAACACATACTACACACAGAGGACATTCCCACCAAAGCCCCACTTCTGTTCTACCTCAGAGACGTGGGACAATGTGAGAAGGTACAGTTGACCCTTGAACAATGCAGGGGTTAGGGGCACCAACCCCACAACACACGCAGCTGGAAATCTGCATATAACTCTTGACTCCCCCCAAACTGGACAACAGTCCCTCAGTATCGGTGTGGGACTGGTTCCAGGATCCCTGCAGATGGCACACTCCGTGGTGCTCAGGTCCCCTTTATAAAACGGTGTGGAACAGTGTGCGCACTCGGCCCTGCATCCGCGCACGCCCAGCCTGGATCAAACACTGCTTTCCATCTACAGTTGGTGAATGCATGATGCAAAACCTGGGATATGGAGAGCCAACTGTATATTTATGGAAAAAACCCACCTATAAGTGAACCCACGCAGTTCACACCCGCGTTGTTCAAAGGTCAACTATACTCACTCCACATACAGTTCAAAGCTGCACACGGGATGTTTTCCTCTATAAATAACCGTAAAAGCAGTGATGAGACCAGTTAAATAAAAGAAACCACGTGGGGCAAGATGGCCAGCTGAAGCTTACTAGTAACTGGTAAGAGTCTACAACAGGCCCTGGCCAGCATGCTCAGTGGTTAGAGCACCAGCCTACACACCAAAGGGTCCTCCTGGGTTCAATCTCAGTCAAGGACACATACCTGCGTTGCAGTTCAATCCCTGGCCCTGGTCAGAGCGCAGGTGGGAGGTAACCAATCAATGTGTCTCTCTTACATCGATGTTTCTTTCTTCCTCTCTCTTTTCCCCCCTCCCCCCTTCCTCCCTTTCACTCTCTCTAAAAATCCATGGGAAAAAATGTTCTCAGGTGAGGATTAACAACAACAACAAAAATCTGTAGCAGGGGTCCACAAAGGACAGCCTGGAGCTCAGATGCAGCCTGTGGCCTGTTTCTAGATGGCCTGCAAGCTAAGAATGGTTTTTACATTTTTAAAGGGTGGTTAGGACAAACACACAAAAGGTGAAAAGCCTAAATTACTGGCTACTTGGCCTTTTACCAAAAAAGTTTGCCAACCCCTGGCCTAGAGTCCACTCTGCACCTCGGGTTTCTGAGGCCCCGGGTTCCAGACCCAGCAGTGCTGTCTGCAAACGCCCCCACGGGTGCTGTGTAAGGCTGCGTACCCCTCCCCCCAGCCGGCACGGGCACTGGCACAGCCACAGTGAGCAGGCTCCGCACGGTGCCCGGGCATGGCTGTGGGCCAGTGGGTGCTTGTAAACATAGGCTCAACCTGGCGCAGCTTTCAGAAGATCAATTTTGCCTGAAAACTAGAGGAAAGCCTTTATTCTGATAATGAAACTTGACGGTTCCAATAACCGATGCTGCATGTTAATGGAGCAGAAGGCTGCATCAGAACAAACGTTAACAGAGAAAAGAAGGGTGCCGCTTTGGACCGCCAGCCCCCGCCCCACCCCAGGCCATCTGGGGACAAACTCAGCACCGCCCCCTGTGGGGGGTCTCCCGTGGGAACCTTTGAGGAGGGTGGAGTGTTACCCAGCTTGGACTGAACTGAACAAGCAATGAGATATTTGCCTGAAAGAAGTCGTCACTTTTGCGTTTAGGGCTAGAGTGGGGGTGAGGGCGGGTACAGTCTAAAGGAGAAGTTTTAAATGGTCTGGAGTAACCTAGGCCCTCTCAGCTGCACTGCCATTGGCTTCTTGTTTTGGTTTTGAAGTCCTTGTGGTAAGTACCTGCTCCCCAAAAGGCCGATCCTGTCAATGGCTGCGCTGACGGCTCTGGCTCCCCCTGCCGCCTGGGATGGCTCCTCCGTGTTGGTCTCCATGGTGATGGGAAGCAGCTGAGGATGGAAAGGCTTATTAAATAGATGTCTGAGGTGACACTCCTGGCCCAAGATACAGCAGAGCCATGGTCAAAGGGACATACTTCTCAGGCCTCCAGTCCCGTTGCAGGAAGCAGGGGACAGGAGGGAGAGTGACAGCGTCTGCCCAGGCTGATGAGATCAAGCACCCCCTCCCATGAGCTTTGCAAAAAGACAGGGATGTCAGTTTCTTATGATCTGGGAAGTCTCAGGAAAGGATCTGCTTCAATGAGCTATTGAAAAATTTCTCTCTCGTGTGCACTCTCTCTCTCAGGCCCGTGCCTTTCCCCCTCTTCTTCCCTCAAGGTGCGTACCTTTCCTCTTTGGCCCTCTCTTTCCACCCTAAGTTCCAAAGAACCTTAACAATAAATTAGATCCTGGCCGGGTAGCTCAGTTGGTTAGAGCACTGCTCCACACGCCAAGGTTGTGGGTGTGATTCCCAGCCAGGGCACATACAAGAATCAACCAATGAATGCATACATACATGCAACAACAAATTGATGTTTCTCTCTCTAAAATCAGTAAGTTAAAAATAAATTTCGTCAACACCTTTCCCCATCTCAACCCCTGTTCTATCTGCGACAACGTAATGGGACTCCATGGAGAATTCCAGTAACATCATTAGGCCCTTTCGCCTTTCCCCCCTTTGTCATATATCATCTAAAGTGGAGATGTGCTCTGCTCTCTATCTGCAAATGCTTCCAGTCACTGGAGGCCCTGTGGGTCAGGGGTCACGTCATCCGGAAACCTTGGAGCACAGGGTGGGTGGGCAGTGTTGCAGACCTGTCCAGACATCAGCCAGGGACAGTTTAAGATGACCAGGAAACAGCAGAACAAGTGAGAGGGATACAAAGAGAAACCTCCACAGTGCTCTCGGTGCTGCCTGCACACCATTCTATCCCAATTGGATGCTGTCTCCTCTCCTACCCCCCACCTCCCCCCAAACCAGGCTTCTTCCTGATCTGCCAACTCATTCTCACTTCAAAGCTGCTCCCTGTTCCTCCTACTTGAGATGCTGTTTCCTGTTGCTGGCTGGCTCCTTCCTCACACACAGGGCTCAGCTCACATGGGACATCCTCCAAGGGGCCTCCTCGGACCACCTGCCGGAGGGAGCCACCATCCCGTACCCAGTCAGCTTTTGTCATCTCCCTGAAGTCACCTGTTTATTTATGGCTTCATTTGCTTGTAGCCTGAAAGCTTCGCAAGGCCAGGGGCTAATCTGATCTGTATGCTGAGCACACAGCACAGACTGGAGCACAACCTAAAAGACATTCCCGGGCATTTTATTAATTCCCGCCTGTATTTGCCGAGATAGGTCTAATTGACCTGGGTAGATAGGGCTATAATTTATTTACTCAGAACGCCAAGATCTGTTTTTGGTGTTGTCTTGTCAGGAAATAGAAATGTAATAAGAGCCCTGGCTGGTTTGGCTCAGTGGATAGAGCGTCAGCCTGCGGACTGAAGGGCCACAGGTTCGATTCCAGGCAAGGGCATGTACCTTGGTTGCGGGCACATCCCCAGTGGGGAGTGTGCAGGAGGCAGCTGGTCGATGTTTCTCTCTCATCGATGTTTCTAACTCTCTATCCCTCTCCCTTCTTCTCTGTAAAAAATCAAAAAAAGAAATGTAATAAGAAACTGGAGTCAGCAGGCCTGGCTAAGCTCCTGCAGCCAGGCCTTCCCATCTGTGGAATGGGCAGGACAGCTCCGTGCCCAGGAGGACCTGCTGGGTGATGAGGAAAGCTCTCTGGAGCATCAGGTGCTGTGGGCATGGGCTTTGCTGTTCCTCTCGGGCCTCCACTGACCTCCGGGCTCTCCTCCTGTGCCTTCAGCAGACCAGTCCACGGTTTTGCTGGGGGTTCCTCCACGCCCTGGAATGATGTAATCACATGACCTGAGGTCAGAACAAAGCCATCCACTGTCTGCGCTTCACTGACAGATGAGGGTGAAGAGGGGCAGGGGCCGTCTTGTGATCTCCTACACAGACACCAGGAAAGGACTGAGCTCCAGGAAAACAGACAACAGGTGTCGCTCGATGAATGTCCCAAAGAACAGGCCATGGTGGAGACTGCAAAGCAATGGATGGTGTGGACGGGCTCCAGGCTTGCAGGCAGGCAGACCTGGGCCCCTTCCAAAGACACGGCCTGGGTAAGCCACCTTGCTTCCCTGGGTGCCATCGGCACCTCTGTAGATAGGGTAATGAAACAGTGCTGCCTGTTTCAAGGTTTCTGTGAGCATCCGTGGAACAAGCTAAGGTCAAAGGTTTCAGCAGCTGAGTCAGAGAGCACGCTTCTGAGAAAGGATGTGTACACCGAAGCACGTCAGGGCCTCCGGCTCCCAAGGGGCCCTGCTCACCCCACCGTTTCTCCTGCTTATTGCTCAAAGCCCAGGGCAGCAGACACAAACTCCAACACTGCAGGGCCAAGGAGGCTTTCTGAGCAGGTGAAGCAGGCTGGGGCAGGACTGCAGGGGTGGGGAGGCCCAGAGGCCTGTCGGGCTCATGCTCTGGGAGTGATGTCTTTCCAGAGAAGCCAGAGCTTGCCGTTTACTCCATCCTTTCTCTTAACTACAGTCTGCAACCCTAGTCTGAGGTGTCAGGTTTGCAGGGAAATCGGCAAGGATGAGAGGCATATTGGCATCCACCTTGGGCTTTCCGCAGGAAACGGAAAATGGGAAGGTGGAGGAAATGGGACCTCTGGCAGGCGGTGAGGGACGATGCAGTAAGCAATGAATGTGCAGGTCAGGTGAGGTCAGAGATGCCCACACATCACTCTCCTCACCATGTGCTCTGTGCCAGCGCTGCTCGGACACGTGCTCCCCCCACCCCCCGAGTAGCAGAGTCCTCCTAGGGAACACACTGGCACCTGCAGCTGGCTGGTGGGGGGCGTGCTCTGTGCCAGCGCTGCTCGGACACGTGCCCCCCCCACCCCCCGAGTAGCAGAGTCCTCCTAGGTCCCCTCCCCCTGCCAGGGAACACACTGGCACCTGCAGCTGGCTGGTGGGGGGCTCGGCCCTTCTGCTCAGGATCGCCCTCTGCAGGGCTTCATTCTCCACCTGGATGGCTCGGAGCACAGCTGATGCGTCTTCCTGCCGGTCCTCAGCCTGGAGCACAGGTTTTCGGGCTGCTGATGGGAGTCTCTCCCGTCGGCTTCCAGGTCCTGGGGGCAAAAACAGGGGGTCTCCCTTTAGATTCATTCTCAGAGTGCAGCTTAAAAACTATCAGACTCAAGTTGAGAACAATCTATGAAACAAATGTCAAGGTCATGAAAGACACAGACAGCCTGGAGAGCTGCCACATTAAAGGAGACCGGCAGGCATGCCACTGAAGGCAGTGGCCAGCCTGGGGCCGGACTGGGGAACTAGCTGTGAGAGCATCGTTGTAGCAAGGGGAGGAACCCAAACCTAGTCTGTGGCTTAGGTAACAGTATGATCTTAATGCTAAATTAGCCTAAATTTCATAATTTAAGTGTACCGTGGTAACATAAAATGAATGCCCTTGTTCTCAGGAGAAACAGCCACCCTCCGTATCTGCGGGTTCCACATTCACAGATTCAAATGTGTACCGTTTAGTTAGGCCTGTGATAGTTGCTTCTGTACTGAACATGCTCAGGCATTTTTCCTTGTTGTTATTCCCTGAACAATAAGAATAATAACTATTTACATAGCACTTACAATGTGTTAGGTATCATAAATAATCTAGACATCATTTAATGTCTACAGGAGGATGTGCATAGGTTATATGCAAATATTACCCCATTTTATATAAGGGATTTGAGCATCGGATTTTGGTGTCCACAGGAGTCCTGGAACCAATACCCCCAGATACAGAAAGGCAACTCTGCATACTGCAGTGTTCGGGGGTAAAAGGGAATGATGTATTTTTTTAAAATCTCAAATGATTAAAACAAAAACACACACATACATACACAGCAATTATAAAGCAATTGGGACCAAATGTTAACAACTGGTGAGCCTGGAGGAGGGGTTTATGGGAGGTCATTTGTACTATCCTTGCAACTTCCTTTAAGTGTGACATTATATCAAAATAAAAAGTTATTAAAAATTAACCCTCTAACAAAGTATCTATAAGGAATAATACATAATATCATGGAAAAGGATGAATATTTATTTATTTGTTAATCCTCACCAGAGGATATGTTTATTGATTTTTTAGAGAGAAAGGAAGGGAGGGAGGGAGGGAGGGAGGGAGAGAGAAAGAGAGAGAAACATCTATGTGAGAGAGAAACACTGATTGGTTGCCTCCCCTATGCTCCCTGACTGGGGATTGAAACTGCAACCTAGGTATGTGCCCTGACCAGGAATCGAACCCACAACCTTTTGGTGAATGGGACGATGCTCCAACCAATGACCCACTTGGCCAGGGCAAAAGGATGAATATTTTGAAATATTTGTGCTTTATTTTGTTTTTGCAGGAATAACAAGAATTACAAAAAAAATTACTCTTCAATTTAAGAAAAATAGTATTGCAAAGGTACAGTTGATTTTGGAAGTTCCAATAATGGAAAATTGGTTTCATAAAGTATAAAGTGATATGCAAAAAGCGTCCAATAAGACTGGTTGAATAAAATAAGTTATGGTACATCCACCTAATTGTGGAGTACTATGTAGCTGTAAAAAAAAAAAGCATGCTAAAATATCTACAGCATAATATGATGACTTGAATTTGCCTCATAATCATCTGGGGAATAGAGGAAATGAAAATAGCTGGTAATGGACACATGTGGGTCACTAGAACATCCTCTCAATTGTTTATATTTGGATTCTTTCTATGTTTAAAAAAAACTCTCCACTTAAAAATAGAAATGCTTGCCCTGGCCGGTGTGGCTCAGTTGTTTGAGTGTCGTCCTGTGCACCGAAAGGTTGTTGGTTGATTCTGGGTTGTGGGTTCGATCCCAGGTAGGGGGTGTGCATGCAGTAGGCAGCCAATCAATGTTTTCCTCTCATGTCAATGTCTCTCTCTTTCCCCCTTCCTCTCTCTCTAGAAATCAATTTTTTAAAAAAGAAGATCCTTCAATGATTTCTTAAAACAAAACTCAACATATTTCTATTGGGATCTTGAGAGAGGCTTTTACCTACTGAGTTTATTGAATGCCACTCTGCCAGGTCTGTTCTTGGCACTGGGTACATAGCAGTGATCAGACAAATCAAGACCCCCCCACCCTTGGGGAGAGACACAATAGCTAGAGAAAGATAAATAGTACAGGGTGATAGCAGAAAATGACATGGAAAAACATGACAAGCAGAGCAGGTAAAGGAGATGGGGGTGCGGGGTGGAGGGTGGGCGTCAGGGAGCACCAGGGAAGCATGGCCCAGGCACCAGGCAGAGCGAGAGGCCTGTGGTGTGTCCATGGGGCAGCAAGGCACCTCGGGCTGGCGCAGAGGGAAGGCCAGGTCACACAGGGCCTTGGAGGACACGGTAAGGCCATTCCTGAGTGCAGTGGGAAACCACGGGAGGATTTGGAGCAGGGGACGACCTGAGCTGACGCAGGTCGAGAACAGACTGGAGGGAGGTGAGGGTGAGCTCAGAGAGGCGGTCAGCGGCCAGCGCAGCTGTGCAGGGGGGCATGGGCGCAGAGGCGGAGGGCTACAGGGGAAGACAGAGCCAGCAGGCTTTCCTGACAGCGTCGGTGCGGCTGGGGGAGAGAGGACTAAGGGTGACTGGCTTTGGGCCTGAGGAAATGGACAATGGACTTGCGTTCAGTTGAGCTGGGGAGGGCTGGGGAGCAGGTTTAGAAGGAGCGGGGCTCAGGTTTGGACAGGCTGGGTTCGGGATGTGTTGGCCTCAAAGTGGAGCTGCTGAGTGGGCACAGCGGGGGTCATATATATATGACCTGGTGTAAGGCTTGTTGGAAAACAGCATCCTTCCAGCCTCAAGACCTCGGGAAACCATCACTGCTGATGACTGGAGATTCCTCTTGGAGCACCTGACCTCGGCTATGCGCTGCTAGAACACTGTGTCTGATGAGAGTTCAAGTAGCAGCATAAGAGTGGCCCTGGCAGGGGAGGGAGGGGGCACGGCAGCTCCACGGGGGACTTCCAGTACAGCCGGGCGCTGGGTGATGGGACTATAGGTTTTTACGTAAAAGCCAAACCAAAATGGGGCACTACCAATTTCTCCCAGGTACCCAGGAGAGGGGCTGTGGATGCAAACGCCCAGGCGCCAGAGGCAGGCATGCCGAGTAAGACTGAACGTGGGGCTGGGCCCCCCTCAATAAGGAGCCAACGCCCGGCTCTGCCATATTGGCCTGTGCTCCTAGTATTGCCACTTTATTTTTTCAGGAAAAGCTCAAATATGAAATTTTTGTGAAACCCCCTTAAGTTTTATTTGTTCATAACATACTCCAGTTTTAAGAAGCATGATCAACAGAACCCAGGGGCTGGTCTAGTACAGTCCAAGCTGCTTCCCCAGGGGGCAGAGGGCGGGGGGTCAAGGGCACCCACAGGAACCCTCGAGTACCCATGGCTGGCTGGCCTGCGTGGTAAGCAGCAATGGGCCATTTTCTGACTTTGATGGACTCTGTCATTGCCCAGTGCTGCTCCTGGGGACAGAAAAGTAATGAGCTGCTTGCAAGGTGACCCGGGGATTCTGCTCAGCCGGCCAAGGCTGCGTTCACTTTCCCTGCTTGCCCTTCTTATCAGCTCCTTGGCCTGCTCTGCACTAGAGGGATGAGAAGGTAAAGAAACAGGGCAGGGATGGTAAGAGCTACAAGGCACCCGGTTTAACAAGCTGCAGGAGGCGGATCCTCAGTGACTGAAACACGGCGGGTAATAGGGTGCCGAGGGCTACGCTGAGGTCTTCCTCACTCGGGGCAGAAGGAGACCCGGCGCCTGAAGGAGCTGGGAGGCCAGGAGGAAGGAGTGAGGGACACTAACGGACTTGGCCTTGAGCTACAGCGGAGCAGGGCTGACCTCCTGCACTGCAAACACACGACGCCCAAGGGGAGCTGACCAGAACCCCCTCCCAGCAGCGTGAAGGCAGCAGGACACGGGCTCTAGACCTGACCACGCTGTGGGATGGCACGCTGCTCTGGGCTCAGGGCTACAGAGGCGGGTGCAACAGGCACACGCTGTCTTCACACTCACAACCATGGGGCAGAGACAGACACAGGCAGGTGCACACAGGACGTGCCAGCAGGTGGTGAGTGCTGGGGAAAGAGACAAAGCAGGTGAGGGCGAGAGAAGCCAGGAGGGAAGGATGCAGAGGGGAAGGAGACACTCAGTCAGGAAGGTGACATCTGAGCAGAGACCTCGAGGCAGTAAACCTGAGAACACCCCTCCAGAGAGGCTGTTCCAGGCCACGGGCACAGAAGGTGCCACGGCCCTGAGGTGGGCAGAGGTGGGCTCAGTGAAGAGTGTGGAGTGGCAGGGGAGCTGGAGCGAGGGACGAGGGCAGCGCGGTGGGCAGTGAAGGTGGAGAGGTCTTGTGCTCAGTTCTCTGCGGCCATTTAAGCCCACAGGCCTGACACTGCTTCAGGAGGCCACGCCCATCTTGCTTACGGGCACCTGGCATCATGGTTTTTGTCAAATGAACGATGGAAAATGATTCCAACCCCAAACCTTGTCAATCTCCGTATCTGTGCATATCACTAAAGCATATTGTTTCCTCCATCACCTGACCCTCCAGATCCTACAGAGCAGCAATTTTCAACGGGTGTGCCACGGCACCCTGGTGGGTCACAAGATTTCTTAAAACATGCCATCCTATGAGTCAGGGGCACTGACCTATTTTCCCTTCGACTGTCAAATAAACAAATGACAACAGCCGTCCAGTGTGAATGCATCAAAATTATACGTATTTTAGTCATAGTTTTGGAAAATCCTGCTATGGATGATTCTATAAATAAGGGACTGAGATCCTGTATACAGCTAAACCAATGTGCAGCACTGACATTGGGGGGGGCGGGGGGGGCGCGCAGGGGAGGGGCAGGAGAGCTCGGGCAGCACCTGAAATTCGTGAGCTCTTTCTCCATTCCGGCATGGCGCACTTTAAATCAGTTTACAAAGATCTGCGTGTGACCTTGGCCTTTGTACCGCCCCCAGGTGCCCCAGTGGCCTGGGGCTGGGTGGACAGCTGCCTGAGGTCACCACCTGTCCTTGGCCCTGCAAGCCCACGCCGCCTCTTCTGGGAAAGGACACC